TCTTCTGACAATATTTCTGAAAATATCTTCTGACATTCGTTCTGGCAAATCTTCTGACAATATTTCTGAAAATATCTTCTGACATTCGTTCTGGCATATCTTCTGACAATGTTTCTGAAAATATCTTCTGACAATATTTCTGGCATATCTTCTGACAATATTTCTGAAACTATCTACTGACATTCGTTCTGGCATATCTTCTGACAATATTACTACATGAAAATATCTGCCGACATTCCTTCTGGCATATCTTCTGACTATATTTCTGAAAGTATTTTTTGACAGTCGTTCTGGCATATCTTCTGACTGTATTTCTGAAAACATCTTCTGACATTCGTTCTGGCATATCTTCTGACAATATTTCTGAAAATATCTTCTAACTGTCAAATTTCACGAGGTTTGGGATTTTGGGGGCCAAGTGCGATTTGCAATAATGTGTAGTTTTGAAGACGCTGGGTGAGGTTCAATTTGTTGGTGTAGCGCCAGCATGTCATTTGGAACCTTACAACATGTTTGGCACAAAGACCAAACAAAAGAAGGTCATCAATGTTGGCATGGTCTCTCTAGAATATGATTGTATGACTGATTACATGATGAAACACTATTAAACTGGTAGAAAAAATCAAACAAGAAAGACTTTGGACCACAAAGTCACATCAGCTGTGCGGCCCAACTATTAAAACCAATCTGACATAAAGGAACCCATGTTTGAACGCAGGTGAACGAGAATCCGGTAGACATAGGAGACAACATTGCAAACAAAAGAAACCATGTCAGCAACGTTGGACGTATGCAAGCAAAACCAGTGGGAACCAAGCTGTGAAGACAGCTTGGGGCAATAGGCAAAAGCAGTGGGAGCAAACCACAAGGTTGGATGGCGGAAACAAATACTGTAGTCGAAAGTAACACCAAAAACCAAGGTTTCAGTCGGGATTGCAACAGTTTCGGTCAATCGAGGCTGCAAACTGAAACAGCCGGGAAACAGTCGGGAAACAGTCGGAAACAGTCGGGAAACAGTCGGAAACAGTCGGAAACAGTCGGGAAACAGTCGGAAACAGTC